GGGGAAGGTGGAGGGTTTCTGAAGTGCGCTACGGCAAGCACTAGCCACGTATTTGAATATTGAGCAGCAAGCTTATTGGCTGCTGATGCAAAAAGAAACCAATCAGCTGTGCCATGTTAATGATGATTTAATTATATCAGATTGGGTTAGACCTATTGGCCTGTGCCATCTAGAGTTTCATGATAGAACATTGTATTTATCTTTTTAACATCAGGGCATTTATTTCTCCAGCACTCTTTAATGAGCTTTTGAGTGATGCAGAAATGAAATCAGTGGGTTGAGTGTTGTTCTTTTACTACCTTATTGAATTAATATTGACAAGATTAAACTTCTCATCACTTTCGTTAAGTATTCTGCCAAGTATCAACACCCTTGTGTTAAGACTGCTACAGCAGTACAACACTGGAATAGACTCCTGTGTTTGTGGTTTTCATGTCCCCTCAAGCTGTTTTAATTAAACCTTCAGAGAAGCTGCTCTTTTATTATCTGTGGAAGCTTATGAGAAATAAATAGAAAGCATGGTTATGATCTCTTTCTCCCCTGTGCTTTGTTATTGAGCTTGTTTGGTGCATGTGGAGGACTCCAAAGGGCAGGGGATCCCAGGGGTCTTCTTCATAACACAGGGGCCCGAGCACATTGTGTGGCCTGGAAGACTCTCTTTTCAACAGAAAAGAGCAGCTATGGCAGGATATTTACAGTCTGCCCTTGGGGAATACGCTCTCCTAAATAATCTTTTCAGGAGGAATTTAGAAATGAGTTGAGCAACCTGCGGAGAGTCAGACCTTTGCATTAGTAAATAGCTATAGACTGACATAGCTAGGTCAGACAAGGAAACGGGTAAATAACGAGTCGTTTTCTGGAATATTAGCAAGATTTCATTTGTTTGTCAGTATCGGTATCAATGCAGTGATAAGGAAAATTAGGACTGACATCTATGGTAGGTGTGGAAAAGGACTTTAGATGGTTAAATAATCATATAAAGAGGAAGTATGCCATTTTGATGTTTTCATTTGCGGAGAGAAATTAATATAGCTAGGGATGCACCGATATGAAAATTTTGGCCGATACCGATAACCGATAATTCTTTATTTTTGAAAGCCGATAACCGATATGTTGGCCGATAAATCTATATCCACATTTTTATATACTTTTTGAGAGCCTGATTACAAAAAAGTTCTCATCATTAAAACCCACATCCCAAACACTTCAACATAAGCAGCCTAGTTTGAACGGTGTACGTTTTAAAAATAATTTTACTCTCCCATTACCAAATTTAGTCATAAAGTCTTACAAATAAATAAAATAATGCATAAATAATGCAAACAAGTCACTGGACATCATTACACGTGTAAAGAATCAAAATGAATGCGCCATAGATCAATAAAACGGAATAGCCTCTGCACGGACAATAATTAAATGATTTTAATTACTAAACCATATTGTTGATGAAAATAATAAGAGAAAAATACAAGTGGTTGTTATTATTAATAATGTATCAATGATTTTGAAAAAGTAACAAATTAATACCACTGTTTTAAATAGCAGCCGTTTGAGCTGCGTGTGCTGAAGCTGAAGAGCTGAATGAACACGGTAAACTGAAACGTTTTGCTGGCAGCTTATTTAACTCAAGGAAATGCATCCTGAGATTAATATTAATACAACATAAACATAATATTACAACTTATATATGTACAAAATGATGCGGTTATTGCGTGCTATAGTCAGAATGTGTGATCCTGTTGTGGATGCGCTCTTCCCATAACAACGCGCTGAAACACGGCAACTAAACCCAAAGAATTCACAACGTTTTATTATAATAATGTTCTCATTAGAATGTTATATACACGACATTCCCAATCATAGTTATTAATGTTGTGCACTGCTGTTTGAGCTGCGTGCGCTGAGCTAAAGATGATCACCGGTAAACTGAAGCGCTCTTTTAACTTAACCAAACGCATTCTATACATCAAATAAACACAATAATACAACGTACAATTGCACAAAAGGCTGCAAACGAACAGCGCGCATCTGAAGTGTCTCTGAAGGAAATAATGCATTATTTATCGGCTTTAAAATATCAATTTTCTTATCGGGCCGATACCGATAACAGAAAAAATGAGCATTTATCGGCCGATACCGATATGGTGGCCGATATATCGTGCATCCCTAAATATAGCAGTAAAATAATTTCAATTAAAATGTATTTTTAAATATTAAAAAAATTCTGTCATCATTATTGTGCCAAACCTATATGACACTCTTCTGTGGAACATGAAAGGAGATATTTTGTTTGTAATCAAAGAGTTTTGGTTCCCATTGACTTCCATTGAATTGTATGTCTATATAATGGTAGTCAGTGGGAACCAAAATGGATTGGTTACCAACATTCTTTAAAATATCTTTTTAAGTTTTCATTTTTTGGTGCACTATCCATTTAACGCATTCTCTTTTTTAAATATAGGCTTTCAATAGTTTTTTTTATGTAGTATTTAAATTGCGCATTTAATGCAACTTTTAAATTGCAATGTTAAATTAAACTTAAGTTCTTGCATTTGTAAATGCTTTACTAAATGTAAAAATGCTTTTAATTTGCAACTTAAATTTTGCTTTTTAAAACTTTTTTCAAAAAAATGAATTGAACCGTTTTATCTGTCAAGTTCGGAATTTATTTATTTATTTTTGTTTGTTTGTTTGTTTGTTTGTTTGTTTGTTTATTTTAGTTTTTTATGTTGATAATTATTTCATTCTTTTATTTTTAAATGCTATTTCTAGTCCTAAATAAAATGTTAAAAGATGTCTTTAATACCTGGGTACCTGTTTGAATTCCAATTTATTTAAATGGCAGTTGCTCTGCTGGTACGCAATTTAGGGTGCTTTCACACCTGTAGATCGATTGCTTTGTTCCGAAACAGGGATTAAAATTATTACAATGTTGATTTTTACTCTTGGTGCCGGTTCGCTTTCACACGGCAATGTTTCTTAACGGACCAAATTTGTTAATACAAGTCACGCGCGAGTAAACCGTTCTTTCATTGATCAAAGTTTCACGGTTTATTTTCCTGGATTCCACTTAGCTGTCACAGCTGTCATCTGTCAGGATGGAACGACAACAGCTTCGCGGGCTTGTTGTTGTTGTTGTTGTTTTTTTGTAGATGTCGTTATATTCATTTATCACTTTGAGCAGGAGTCCAGGATTCATCGGGAAAACATTTTTAAAATGCACATACTTGGAAGAAGAGCAATAAGACGGCATTATAAAATGAAAAAGTGCGCTTTGATTTTGAATGGCGAAGACGTGCTCACCCACAGACATTCACATGGTTCATTTTGAAGTATTAGCAAAACAACAAAGCTAATGCTTTTCGTGGAACTTACGTAATTACCCATTATACATTGTGATATAGCCTGGTTCGTTGGTCCGTTAGATCAGATTGCTTTCTCACTACAACCGAACCGCTCCAGAGTTCGTTTTCAATCGAGCCGAGACCACCTCATTCAGGTGATCTTGGACCAATTGTTTTGGCGCGGATCCGAGCGCGATTGCCGTGTTCACATATGCCCAAATGAACCGAGCTAAGGGGGGAAACGTGTCAGGTTCCGAAACAACGGGACAGGTGTGAAAGCACCCTTAAAATCTGCCATTATTGTTCATGAGGCTCAGCCAATCAGCTAAGTAGTAAATTCCATGTGATAGTTGAATCTAATATTACACATTTTGTGTAGTGTACACTACAATATATTTTAGAAAATTAAACAATTCCTTGAGTTTTATACATATTTTGGAAAATCTAAGTCATAAAATGAGTTGACAAGTGACATTAACAAAAAAACATTGACTAAAGTTAGCTCAGCCTCCTGCTTAGACAGTCCATTACCGTATTGTGAGGAAACTCACATGGCCCGGCTTTCCATTTGTCAGGCTTCTTAAGGGACCCAAATTCCAGAAGGTGATTTTCTCCAGGAAATACACCTGGCTCCCTGTGGGGAATTACCTTTCAGTTTGTAAGAGACACGGATCTGTGCCACTGTCACTGATTCAATGCTTGTTAAGCCCTGACTTGGCAAGCTTAGCTGAATTGCTGTGCTAGGGTGAACTCCACAGTCATTTGGAGTCACTAATGACAGAAGTTAGGAAGTGATTTTCTGTGCAGAAATCTCAGAGCAGTGGATTATCCACAAGAAACGCATCGTAATTGGAAGAAACACTCTGAATTTCAGAGACCTCGATTGTCGTTCTGCACTCACCATTTCCTAATTACAAGTAAATAGATACAGGCTGATAAACACTCACAAAACGATGCAGCGTTTCCTAAATTCCCAGACATAAAAAAATATTTCGAGGCCATGTTTCCATCAGGGCGTCTCATTAGAGAAGAGCGAATTTAAGGGGCTAAAACCCGTCTCGAAGACGATGGCTTTGAGAAATGCAGCATCTGCACAATACTAAGCTCTGTAAACCCACACAGCACAGAGGCATTTTATGTGATGACACGGGTCCTCCATTGTCATTCATTCCTGTTAATGCCTCACTGCTTATCGCCACTCACTCTTCCTCCAAATGTGGAAATTACAGCCGGCCACAGTTATCACCCACAGACTGCAGGCTGCCAGGGAGCACCGGCTGTATTACCCTGCTCCACCAATTACCCGCCAAACCCTGAGCAGGAAATGATTTTCATCATTTATGCTCCAGTCAGCTGGCATTGTGGTTTGACACAGGGCAGATATATTGGAAAAGCCAGGGCAGCAGCAGTGTCTGAAAAACTGGATATCAGCAGAGATTTTTACTGTCGCATATAAACATTCGTACTGTGGGTCGACAATGAGCCTCTATAAACGTGAAAGAGAGCAACAGTTTGTTTAGTGCATTATGGCACTATAATTTCATGTTTTTCGAGAGCAATATGCTTGTGGCCGTTTCTTTTTATTATTACGACAGTGTGTTTTTGAGCGTGTGAGGGATGAAATAATACTACAGTTGCTCTTTCATTGTGTTGCAGGTATGAGGATCCTGGTGACGCTTCTGCTGGACACTCTTCCCATGCTGGGCAATGTGCTGCTGCTTTGCTTCTTTGTTTTCTTTATCTTTGGGATCGTAGGGGTCCAGTTGTGGGCCGGGCTTCTCCGCAACCGCTGCTTCCTCCCGGAAAACTTCTCCCTGTGAGTGCGATGGCCTGGGATGTAGTATCACAAGCATGATATTGATTTACAAGTGACCTCAGGAGTCTTAAAATGAGAGGGTTTATAATGTGAGCACATGATGAAAGGCCAAGTATCAACTCGAGATCAATTTAAATTGGGTTTTATGGGCCTACAGAAAAGAGGATTTAAAGCAATACACAGAAATGCAAAAATTATCAATGACAAACAAATAAATATGATTTATTTCTGTATGTATGTGTGTATATATAAATAATACGTACTATACGATTAGCTCAGTGAATAATAAAAAAAAAAAACATAGACCCGGCTAGAACCAGCGGAGTGATATAAAATTTTTAAAGGGCGTTCCTGTAGCGATACCAGTACAATATCTCACAGTTCTCAACCAATCAGATTTGAGAACCAGAACGAACTGTTGTATAAATATATATATATATATATATAATAGCAATTACTGTATTTGAACACTATTTTATATACGTAAAATTATAATATATTTTAAAATTATTAGAATAAATGTTTTACTTGTTTTATTTGTTTATTTTGAGTATTAGTGAGTTCTCCTCTATGTTAATGCAGCACAACTCCTTACCCCTTTTTTTTGAGCAAATAAAGTTCAAATTGATATGGAAATAAATGTGCACCAAATGTCCACAAAGGTGAATGGGTCACACAAGGAGTTTTGGAAATGATTTCCCTCCACAAATGCGTAAATCTTTTGCAGACACTATCTTATGTTTGATGAATCGTAAAAAATGAATAATAAGTTTCCATTTCTCTTCTTTCTGCTACCATTCATTTTCAACCATGAATCAATTCTTTTTGTTTAGTATCTAGCACTGTAAACCCCACAGCTATCATTGCACTGAGAGCATGAATTAGACCCCATGGATTCATGGCCTGGCTAACACTGCGTGTTGAAGGAATCCACTGCCTCACAGAGATTGGCTTGCAGCGGTGATTATGTAACATCAAGACGGTCTTAAACTGTTAAATTGCTCTTAAGAAATAAATATTTCAAGGGGCAGGGTTCTTTGGAAGGCTAGGATTTGTTCCAATAGGTAATCGAAGGTACTTGTGCAGCTAATTCGCCATGGCACTTTCTCTCTGAGGTGAATTTGTGTTGACAGACGGCCCAATTATCCAGTGTCAGAGCCAAACACCATTAAAGCTAGGCCTTGCTCAATCGCATTTCTTCTGGAGATGTTACTGCTGATCTCGCTGCAGCCTGACTGCTGCTCAAATGGGTGTTTTCCCAACCCTAGGAGAAGCTGAGGCTGAGCGGAGGGCACTGAAGTCTTCGTTGGCTGAGTTATTGCTCAATCAGAAGTCAGAAAGAGCTTTATTGCCAAGTATGTTTGCACATACAAGGAATTTGTTTTAGTGTCACAGGCTTCCAGTACACAGAGACAACAACAACACACAGATAATACAAATAAGATGTGAATAAAATACACACGCATAATTATAAATAAACCACAAAAAAATAATAAATTGTATGTACAGGTGTGCTATAGATAGAATAGGAATAGAATAAAATAAAAATAAAAAATAAGTTGTAGGGGTGTACTAAGACTTAGGGTGATAAATAAGTATAAGGTTATTGCACATACTTTTATTGCACAATGGGAGAACATTAACTGTTCATGAGGTAGATTGCCTGGGGAAATAAACTGTTCTTGTGCCTGGCTGTCCTGGTATTCGGTGCTCTGTAACGCCGACCAGATGGCAAAAGTTAAAAAAGGAGATGACTTGGATGTGAGGGATCCAGAGTGATTTTCTGAGCCCTTTTCCTCACTGGGAGAAGAGCAGTGGGGAGAGGACGCAACCCTGAGGGGTGCGAGTGCTGGTGGTGCGGTTGTTGGATGTGAATTTACCAATTCTCACTAGCTGTTGCCTATCTGTCAGAAAGCTAGTGATCTGTTGAGAGATAGAACTAGGAACAGAGAGCTGGGTTAGTTTGGTCTGGAGGAGAGTTGGGATGATGGTGTTGAAAGCCGAGCTAAAGTCCACAAACAGGATCAGCTGGTCAGCACAGGTTTTTCAGACATGCTGGTATCACACCATCTGGGCCTGGTGCCTTTCTTCTCTTGTTCTTTCTGAAGACCTGACGCACATCATCTTCGCTGATCTGAAACGTAGGAGTGGGGGAGAGGGAGGTTGCAAGAGGTGTTGATGGTTGTGTGGAGAGATGTTCAGAGCGGGTGTGGGGTGTTAGACTGGGAGTTTCAAATCTACAGTAAAACTCATTCAGGTCTTCAGCAAGTTGTTGATTGGCCTCAGTGCTGGGGGATGGTGTCTTGTAGTTGGTAATGTCTTTCAGGCCTTTCCACATTGATGCAGGGCCGTTGGCAGAAAAGTGGTGTTCTAGCTTTTTAGCGCAGTTCCTCTTGGCCACTCTAATCTCCTTATTCAGTGTGTTTCTGGTGTGATTGTACAAGACTCTATCCCCCCTTTTGTAGGCGTCCTCTTTGGCCTGACGAAGATGACGACATTTTGCTGTAAACCATGGCTTATCATTACTGAATGTTAAACGAGTCCTGGTAGGGATGCACGTCTTCACAGAAACTGATATATGATGTT